CCTGGAGTGACATGAATGATCAAAATCACCTTGGGAAGAAGACTGATGGCATGAGAAAAACTAAAGTTATAAACTAGATCTAATCCTGTCTGAACTTATCGACAGCCAGGATGAGTGGATGATGAACCGGAGACCAAAAACAAGTCAAACCTTTCCCATGGAGGAGTACCCCACAGGAGGCAAAGCCATTGAAAATTTGAGGATTGAGAAGCCACTCCTTGGAAGAAAGTGTATGAAGACTGATAAGGCGATCTGCAATGAGGATGAAAGCACCTGGGAGACGACATGCTAGTGTGAGGATTCAAAAAAGGGAGATCCATTGTTTACCACAATGGGAACAAGAATGAGTGCTTTCTCAGTAAGTGATATAAACCATTGAATAGTTGAAATGACACATGATTAGCCAAATTCGAACAAGATGAAGAAATTGAACTGCCAGAAGTACCAAGCTGTTAATATGGTAAGACCTTTCATCTGTAAACCATTTCTTGAAGTCTCTTGCTGCTCGATCCATGCACCCCAACTTTGGATATGAGCATTAGCAAAGAGAAACAAATTCGAGCGAGGGGGGAATTGGTAAACCCGATGACATGGAGGATATGATCAGCCACAAATGCATATTGTCAAAGATGGAGGAGGAAAGGTAAGAGGAGAACCCAAAGGAACCCTAGCAAGAGACCATGGTCATGCAGTATCTCCTGAAAAGATTACAAACGTGCCAGACCCAAAGGGAGATGTTCTTCCATATGCATTAGAACCTCACTAGCAGTAAGATACAGAACCATAATGGTATGGATTGCAGAAAGCTCCACTGAATGTATTTGAGGACAAGAATGGATGGTCCCGGCAGAGGTGGGTGTTTTAAAATACACTCCCCAAATAGCTGAGATTGCTAAGTAGGTACGTAACAGGAAAAACTTATCAGACTGGAAAATCCAACTACCTGAGCTGCTTTTGTAAGAAGAAGGTGAGTATGTTATGATCACCCCTGTTCAGAAGGAGCTAACCGAAGCCAGTTGTCCAAGTAGTGGTGTTAGTAAAATCTCCCAAAATGCAGAAGTTGGGTAAAATGCAAGCTACCTGACAAAAAACATAGAGAACCAAAAAAAGTTTGAAGGACAAGACACAAAACTGGTACCGATTCACATTGTGAAAAAACACTAAGATATTGTCCAGAAAAATGAAAAATAAGAACATGTACCATGGGCATTCTTAGTCCTACAGAAATTGCTCACCCAATTGTGATCAAAGACTTCATATTAAAATGGGGAAGAACCAAGAAGTGACTGAGGCAGAACAGATTGATCCAGAACTCCAATTAGCATCGAGCATACACGACGAATGGAAAAACCCGTAGGTATGACAGGTAAAGGATGGGAAGGTGCCAGACATGGAACATAAATTAATATGGTAATGACTCAGAAGGAAAACAGCAATAACAAAAATATAATATAGCATTGCAGATAATCCATGTGATGCTAAACATACAGGAGTAGCCCTGAAAATGGACCAATGGAGAAAAAGAGCCAACCATAAGTCCTTATTAGAAGTTGATGGTAAACAAATGGAACAAGACAGTGTCCCACCCCAAAAGATCCCAGAAGCAAATAAGCCACATGAGGGGGAAAGAACTGAAGATGGGAAATGCCCCAACATGAAGGGAAGGAGGAAGAAGTATCCCACAAAAATCACCTAGTTATAGGTGGAACGCCTAATAAAAGAGGTGTAAGGTAGACATTTCCTGTAGGAGGGTTGATATGGTAAGACGAAGCTGGAAAACAAGGTGGGTGATAAATCGGATAGGATTAAAAGAGAGTGCTCCCCATAAGGGCGACAGAAATTCTAAGTACATAAAATCAAAAAGAAAATCTGCCTAATGGTAAGCTAAGGCAAACTGAACCAAAGCCTGTGGAGGGCAAGGCATGCAAGTACCCTCTCCCAGAAGAGAGACTAAAATGTTCATCATGAAACATAATGTCTGGAGAAGGAGGGGAAAATTATACTATGTTTAGAAAAAAAGCTGAGGTAGATCTAGCAGATTCTGCAGTAAAGGTCTAGGAAGGCAAGTCATAATCAGGAGGATGAAAACTGACAAAATCTAGATCATCCTAACGGGTTCGGCAGTTGTATGATGAAAGGAGCAATATCGAGAGAAGGTAGGGCAGACCCTGGATCACAGGGGTCCTCACAAACAAAATTAATTGTAAGAAGTATAAATTATAAATAATTACGAAAATGAAATAGTAGATATAATGTAAATTTAAGTAAGTGTGTAGTGAAATAAAGATATGTATAAGATAAATGAATAAAAACCCTGTAACCTTGGCACTTTCGAAAGGTGGACCTTTCTTCTTCAGGGGTTAACTGAAGAAGAAAGGTCCCCCTTTCAAAAGCACTCAGGTTATAGGGTTTTTATTCATTTCTCTCAAGACTTCTTGAACTTACATGTTTTTCGAACATCACATATGTATAAAATGTTATGTGTTGAAGAAAACAAGATATTTAACCTATTTATCAATTTACCCATAAGATGGTCTACAGGTAAACCGAAAATAACAGACACTTGTTAAGCCTAATCAAACTGTGCAGAACAAAGTATATCACTAAGCTCTAATTTAATAATCCTAACCTAACAATAATACATACACACAAACAAACTGAATATAAAGAAATATAAAAGATAAATAATAACGAAAATGAAATAAGACGTTATATTGTAAAATTAGGTAAGTGTGTATTGACAAATATTACTATCGTATAATAAATAGTAAACTAGTGTTGTGAGAAATTGATACCAAGATATGAAAAAAAGAAACACTAAATGAGAGCACTGCCAAACAAGAAGTGATACTTAGGTAGAATATCATAGAGGGAGTCACATGGGTGTGTGGCACTACTATTAGTGGAGGTTTGTGGCTTGATAACTTTCATGTGAGAATCAGTTAAACCATGTGAATCGAGGGGTGTGTGGGAGTGAAAGGCTTGTGGCATGTGAAAATTTTTGCAAATAAAGGGCAGCACTGAACGAAAATAGCTATGTATGTGAGTGGAAGTAGGATACTTTGTCAGAATATAAATTTTTCTTAAAAAACTTTTGTTATTCATTTAAGAGGTTCTGCAATTGAAATTAAAAATTGTAAGATGAAAATGAATTTTTATTATGAGCATGAAAATCACCTTGTACTCAAACTGACTCAGTAAAGACTATGTAAATTCACAGAAAAATCTTTCATAGAAGTATTATATTAAAAAATTTGACTTTTTTTGTGTATAACAGCCTCGTAATGTTTACTAAAAGCTTGCAGAATTTCATGAAGATACACTTACTATATTAAAAGTTATAGCAGTATATACAGTTTCATAGTTGCCAGGTGGTTACAAGGTCAGTCAAGATGACTGAGCCCATGTATGAAGAGTTAAGTGTGATATCAGTAAAAATGGTTCATTTTGTGTTTCACTTTGTATCCAGTCTCTCTTTATTTCATTCATTTTTATGACTCAGTTATACAGAGATTTAGCATTAATTTCTAACAGATGTTATTACCAAATCTCCTGTTATCCTGTGGACCTATTCTATTCTTCTTAAGAAAATTCAGTTTTATCTGATATACCACAGTACCTAGTATGACTTTATAATCCACATTAGAAGATCCAAGAGTGGATTATCTTCAAAGTTAAGTAGATGTTGGGAAAGACCCTGTACTGTAACCAAAAGTGACATGGTTTAAAGAATCCAGAAAGACAGACAGTCCAAGCTAAAGATCATCTGTTCTGATCACATTTGAAAGTACATCATCAAGAGAACAGCCAACTGATTAACTTGAAAGACATCACCCGAGCTATATCAGTCTGCTGTATAGCTAGAGCTTGCTGTCAAAACCATTTGACAATCTACCTGAAGAGATCTCCTCTAGTTACAAGACAGCAAGTGTTGATAAAGTGCTAGAAATTCTCCTATCTTCATACTATAAGTCATGGGACAAGAACACTACCCAAAAGATTTAGTAACAGAAAAATTTAGGAACAGTAAATGAGTGAAGAAAAATGTGATTGCACTTTGTTTCACAGATTTATTTAATAATTTCATAATTCAACTATCTAAATTTATGAATATTATTGTTGTTAATTGTCAAAAATTACTTCAAGTTTTAAAATTAATGTAACTCTGTTATCTTTGTTTAGTAGCATAGTTTCAAGTGACTTCACCATTCATGGAGAGGACAGTGTTTTAGACTATATTTGTAATTTAGACACTTGTACTGTTGTGTGGCCAAAGAGAGGTTTGACATCACATGATAAGCACAAAATGTAGAATGCGCGATTTTCTTTATAGTTTTAGAGTAGATTGAGCCAGAGTTAGACTAGAGTTATATAGCAAATGAGTCTGTTAGTTAACAAGTAATCAGTGCATGATTCAGACAGTTCCCCCTGTTGGGCCAGTAACTTAGTTAAGTGCTACAAATTTTGAGTTTGTTTCCAATGAAATTACCAAACAAATTGGATTTGTATTTAAATGATGTTTTTTAGGCCTACTGTTAGTTAAGTATAAAATTATGGAAGAAATAAAATGCTTTTATTATTATAAAATGAACTGGACTTTGCATTCTTTCTTTTACCAAATAATCTAAAAGAATTCATCCAACAATAAAAACCATTAAAACGATAGTTCATTCATCCAAATGTCTAATAACGGATGTTAAAGATGTTACAAAATTAAGAATAAACTTATTGTGTACACATTTTTTTTTCTCATCACTAGACCATGTGGAAACAAGAAGCATCAAACTTTTTTATAACAGGTAAATACAGTTAAAAAGTATAAAGGGTTTATTTTTTTGATAAAATGGAAGATTTCCACAAAAACAGCTGAATATTTAACCATGAGCTTTGTGCATGTAGGATTCTGCATTATATTAACCAAGGAAAACATTTGCATGTTTAATCCCAGACAACATTAACATTATAAATTATTTGCATTTTTAACCACACACCATACTTACCTCTGGAAGTATCTTTGACGGCTGCCTGTTCCTTCTTGAGATTCCATAGCATCGAGTGATCCCATCCCTCTGTATTTTTTTACCTAACACCATCTGAGAAGTAGTATTTGCCAGGAGATTCACTTGTTCCAGCCAAAAGAGAGCCCATTATAACTACATATCAGACAAATAAAACTCACCAAATAAAAAAAAATTAAAATAAGTCTTATTCTCTCCATAACCTACATCTCAAGAGATGTGGTACTGCCAAATTCTTTAAATTTGTTTAATTTTAGGCTTAAGAGTAGGAATTATGAACTCTCCTAAATTCCCAATTCTCCTCATCATCAGCTAAAGTCATTATAGTTACATTCTCATATCTAATAGGTATTTCAAATTTTAATACATGTGTTTCTTTATATAGGTTGAGAGCCACCTAGTAGTAGAGTCTAAGTATTCCTCCACATAGGATAGACTTACAAAAATGTAAATAACACATGACCCCTTTATTTTTGGATATGATATCCTTGAAATAATGATGAACAACCAGCACAAGTTTGATAAAGTTTTATAATTGCATGCTAGTCTAAGGCCCAGAATTAATCAGCAGAATTCTTCAGAACCACTTCTTTTGAAAATGTAAATTATCAAATTTATTTGTTACAGTAACTAAAGAACCAGGTCATTTGTAAGTAAACAGACAGTACTATTAATATTTAGTTACTCCAGTTCATCTGTAAGTAAACAAAATGTATAAAATTTTAATTAGTAAAGAACCAGCTTATCTAGAGGCACAGTAGTGAATCAAGCCAAGTCAGAAGCTGGATTACAACAATGCAATGACTTATATACAGGACTAAACTTTTGGCCAAATTTCGGATATTGCCAGAACTATTCCAAACACTAGCATGTTTCTATTATTATTCTTTGTAACAGATTTAAACATTCTTACATCACAATGAAAATAACTTTTTCATATCTGTTTTAAGTTAAGAAAAGTAAGCAGTCAAAAAGTAATAAAATTCTTCTTATCTTTGTGGAACAGGCAAAACACATAGTAAACAGAAGACTGGCAAAAAACAAATTCTCTAGTAGATATTAATGTAACTGGGGATTGTTGACATATAATAATATTTGTAAGAATATGTTTTTGTAAATTTAATGGTAAATTGTTCTCCACAGCTACAAGATAAAAAACTGATTTCTTAAAGACCTAGGGGCACGTGGAAAATATGAAATGAGGGAATGACTTAGTAGTCTTAGAAACTGCATGATACATTTGTGTTAATAGCTTAACCTGACAGCTAGGGTTTGAATATCACTTTAGGCAGAATATTATTTTAATTAATTCTAAAATAATATACCACATTAAAATATATCTGTTACAGATTAAAAGAGATAAGCATTAAAGACTGCTAAAAATACTGCTGTTTTTATCATTTGTTTTTTGCTCTTTTGCAGTACTAAATTCAGAATGCTTAAATGAAATATTATACAGTGTGTTCAAGTTGTAATAAAGCTAAAAATAAAGATACTTTATTTTAGGAAATAGTTTTACTAAATAAACAACAAATTTAGTAAAAAAAACTGACTATTTTATATGAATAACATTTAATGTATTCAAACATAGAAATAAATTATTGTACTTTGTCTAATGGGACTTGTAAATGAACAATAACTTTTAGTTGCCATGTACAAAATATTTAGACATATAAACTTTTGTTACTAGATGTGCAATCTTGATCTCCTTGACACTTTTAAATTAACAGAAATAAGTGATATTACTTGTCAAAACAAAAAATATTGACATGTGATCAAAATATTTTACATGTACAAAAACATTCAAGTTAGAGTAAAGGTATCAGACATATAAAGATGTGATATTCAAAAAAGGAAGCCAAGTTTTATAAAAGAGCAAACATGCAAAGATATCATGTAAAAGTTCATATGTGAAAAGAGGCACAATTTAACATTCATGTTGTTGCTTGTTTCAAAGAACTAGTAAGCAGACTCATACAATATATCATTGTTAGCCCTACATCAGAAACAGACAAAAACTAAAAACTTCTAAACTATAAGCATTATTTACAGATTTAGGTTATTCAAACAAGTTATCCCAGAAGTAAAGCAAATAGACACTAGTAAGAGTATTTCAACTCTAAATTTTACATATTTTAAAATACTTTATGCTTCTCTTTTATTTTATTTATAACCATGTTTTCTACATGCTAACACAAACTTTACTATTTCACCTACAATGTAGCACAAATACTTTAATTCAAACAGGTTTTGAAATAACTGCTTATAGTGTTTACACATTTACCTGTAGATGCCCCAAGACTCAGAGCTTTAATAATGTGGCCAACAGAACGAATTCCACCATCTGCTAATATGGGAATCCTATATCTCTGGCTGTATTCTGCCACCTTGTATATAGCTGTTGCTTGAGAACGACCAACAGCCATCACTGCATATAATAGAAGTTTTTTAGAACACATATCTGATTTGTACTAATGACAAAACCAGTATCCTATTTAAATGTAGAGTAAAAGCAAATGATAAAATGAGGTATTAAAGTATCTGCATTTTATCTAATGTTACTAGGACAAGCATAAAAATTACATATGCGCAGTTAAGCTCCAAAAACTGAAAATGTCCTTTTGGTCTTTTGCAATAACATGTATCAGAAGTCACCTGTTTGAAATTAGTTATGAGTAAGATATTTTTCAACAATCCATGTCTTGTTTTACAGACTAAGTGAAACTCAGTTATAATTTTTTCACTAATGAGTATGAGTCCAAGAAAATATAAATAAAGAAAAGAATAGTGGAGCAAGATTTCAACCAGTATATTTTGGGTTCATCTGCTGGACACAATAAATATCTGTAAATTCCCAACTCATTTACAAACAATAAATTATGCTTGTCATAAGACATAAGTATTAGGCCTATTATATTTTTAACACTGCATTTTTTATCTAATCCTTTAGAGATTTTCAAGAATTAGAAGAGTGTATAATAGTAGCATTGCAACCACACCATATTGTCATATCCATTACCAACCATTTACATATTTAATAGGAATATCCTTTGTTAATATTATTCATTGTTTAATTAAGATACAAATTATTTTAAGCCATAAAATATATATTTTGTAAAAAATCTTTTATTGGTATTTGTAGCACCTTAGATCTATTCTAAGATAGAACACATGTATGTTATTAAAAGTTAATAATGCAATATGGTTCCTGAAACATGCAATAAAAAGTTTGTTTTTCGAGTGTTGAAAAAACTACTAAGTTATTAAGAAAGTAACATATAATGGAAAACGTCATGTGCAAGCAAAGTATCTCAGATCTCAAAGACTTAACATTACAATGTTTAGGGACAACAAGGGACCTATTGGTCCAACTTGGCTGTCTCATCCTGTAAATGTAACGAAACCTATTAAATATAAAAAAAACTTCCAAGTCAGCCTTTATTGTCCATATATAAATACCAAGCTTTCTTTTGAACTCACTTAAACTTACTGCCTCCACAACACCTGAAGACAACCTATTCCAAATGCCAACCACCCTGTTAAAGAAATAATAGTCTTAGATGGAGATGACTTCTACCCTGCCAAAATGCATATTTGTGTCCCCTAGTCCTACTATTCTCAACATTAAGTATGAAAAAGATTATGCATCGACATTAACAATTCTCTTAACAATCTTAAACACCTCAATTAGATCTCCTCTAACTATTCTTTATTCAAGAGAAAACAATTTCAGAGACCTTAACCTCTCCTCATATGACAACCCCTCCACTCCAGGCACCATTCTAGTAGCCTTCCTCTGAACCCTTTCCAACAATTCAATATCCTTCCTAAGGAAATGAGCCCAAGACTGAACACAATACTCCAGATGTAGCCTAACCACTGACCTATACAATGAAATTATAACCTCTTTAGACTTGTATCCAATATTTCTGTACATACATTTTAAAATCCTATTTGACTTCCACTAGCAACAGCACACTGCTTGGATGGCTTAAGAGACTGATCAACCATTACACCAAGATCCCTTTCTTTCATAACACTGTTAAGGTTATTCCCATCCAAATTATACTTATAATTCAAATTATGATAACCCACATGCATTATCTTGCATTTAATATAATTAAAACCTATTTGCCCAACTCACTAACCAAGCTAAATCCTTTTGTAAATCAGCAGCATCCTCTTCACAGCTAGCAACACAAAAGACCTCAATATCATCTGTAAATTTAAGTAATTTGTTGACCATTCTTTCATCTATGTCATTGATGTAAATCAAAAAGAGCAA